AGTTGGTCTCTCAGTCTAAGCTGATCTACTGACTTAAATGGATTTTTGCACCATATTCAAATTTTTCCAGAATCACTGATAGGTTTAGTGGAACCACTTGACATAACGGTTACATAAATTCAGCATTTCATGAAATCAGATCAGATGTTATTTGCGCAAATAAATAAAACTGTTTTCAATGGTAAAATTAAATAAAGGCTTTCAGTGCAGAGAACAAAACTAAAGAATGAGAAGTGAAGATGGATGAGAGGAGTGCAGATTTCACGTGAGCAGGAGAGAAAGCGGTGAGCTGCGTTTGCTAGTGGCCTCTGCGCTGCACGTGTGCTGGGAACGCTCCGAGAGCACGAGGAAAAGAATGATCCTTTACTGACTGGAAATTCCTGCGCTTCAGCCACAGCTGCAGCATGACACTTCAGATGGTGGTACTTCCTTTTGTACAGCCCGCTGGAATCAGCCCAAACCACAATGGCATCACATCAGAAAAGAAGACAGGAAAATCAGGCTTTATTATCTGTCACTGTAAAAATATTTGTGCAGCAGGAGACGATGGAGCATAAACCATCCACTTCCTCGCCATGTCAACTTGAATTTTAATGTTAAAAATGCAGAAACGTTTCATAGAATGAGCTGCTTTAATGCTTGTGCTGCTGCTGAAATATGACCAACGTGTCCTTTATTTGTCTGAATTTAAAGGCAACACAAACATTAATTTTGTTTAAAAAATCAAAAGAAAGTTTTCAGTTATTTATAGCCAAAAAAATAAATAAATAAAGGCCCATCCAACCAACAAAGAAAGATTGTTCAACTAGTGTTCAGAAGCAAACTCAATGCTAACGAAGAGAAGCGGGGAATAAAAACTTTCCATCAAATTGTGCTCGGAGAGGGGATTCACTTCAAAGGGATCGTAACAACAGTGCTGTCGATTTAATTTACGTTTTCCAGCACATGCCAAATGTAAAAACCCCAATTTTGAGGAGTGTATAATTACAGAGTGAGAATAAATGACTATAAATAACCCCATCATTACTAGTCCCTCCTGAAGAACATGATCCATACCGAAGCATAATTAAGGCAAAGTATTTCTGATCTTCCAACAGTATGAGGAATCCGTGCACGCGTGCTCATGCTTCTGTGTGTGCACATTGTGATTTGAGATCCAGGAAGTGTGTGTGTGTGTGTGTGTGTGTGTGTGTGTGTGTGTGTGTGTGTGTGTGTGTGTGTGTGTGTGTGTGTGTGTGTGTGTGTGTGTTGAGATGGGCGGCATTCCTCCCTAAATTTAGTACCGTTGAGCTGGAATGTGAGAGTACTTCAGGAGAACACAAGATATAAGCAGCTTTAATTGGTTTATGGAGTCATTAATAACACAAAGGCACAACTCGAGTGTGTGTGTGTGTGTGTGTGTGTGTGTGTGTGTGTGTGTGTGTGTGTGTGTGTGTGTGTGTGTGTGTGTGTGTGTGTGTGTGTGTGTGTGTGTGTGTGTGTGTGTGTGTGTGTGTGTCGGAACGAGAGCTCTAATGTGTGTATGTTGGACCCTGTCAATGGCCCTTAAACAACAACAGACACATGGAAATAACTTTGATCAACAAACATGTAGCAAACAAGAAGATAATAATGAACCTCCATGTTCAGCCCAGGTCTCCTAAAATAGACCATTTCAAGCCGGATGTATCAGACCGGAGGATAATATTCCTAGATTAGGCCAGCTAATTAGTGCCCCGATATTTGGCGCGGAGCTTTGAGTAAGATCCAAATAAGCATATTGTCCTTGTCGCTTAGAAAAGAAAAAGAGGCGCGGAAGAGCGTTCCAGTGTTCCTCTCTCAGAGCCAGAGAGAACATTTCAGTGAGAAACAGAAAAACTTTACTCCACGGCTCTCGCTGCCTCACTTTGTTATGTCTTTCCTTCTTTCTTGCCCGATCAAAACGCACGAATGTCGCTTTGAGAGGCCAAATGAAAGAGAACCAGGCGAACATGTGCAGGGAGTCCTTGTTTACTTCTACTACATCGAGCAGCCGGGCCAAATTTTCCTGCGTCAGCGGGGGTCTGCATGGGTTGTTGGGTTGTTGCTTAACCGGCAGTGAGTCAGCCAGCCAGCAGTTGTCTGGCAGCTAGCAGTTTCCTCGCTGCTATTTGTGTTTGAGTGTAACCAAAAGCATCCCCTCCCTCCATTCTCCCTTCTCCCAACCTCTCCCTGTGACAAGTCTTACCGCAGTCTATTGCTCCAGCAATGAAAACCTGTGACCGAGGCATTCGCCCTGTTGCTGCCATTGTGCTTCTGTAACAAGAAGTAGGCTAAAGCTACTCGACTATACACGGCAGCACCACGGTGTCCAGGTGGCCCCGCTGAGGCTGCGGCTGCTCTTGGCGACCAACGGCTTGTTGTCTGGAGTTGAATGATTCCTCCTCTTAACCTGGGATGGCTCTTTTTTCTGCACCAGTACTCCTTGAACTATAGATAAATAGATTATGGAGGGGGGTACAGATTTGTGTGGGCATCTTTGAAGAAAGACAACGGCGATGTTGAAGGGAAGCAGAGCATTGAAAGAGGAGGCAAAGACATTTGTGTTGTTGGACAACAAGGAGAGGTCGAGTCTGTAAGAGTAGCCGGCTTCTGCCAAAAAGGACAAGACAGTGATAAACTTTCCTCCCCATGCAGTCTCCTCTCTCCCCACCCCAAACACACACACACACACACACACACACACACACACTTCCTGTTACACTTGCACACTCACACAACGTGTCACAATGCACAATTCACCAGTAAAAATGAATGGATTGCCCCAGCGTGACTCGTCTCAGTTGCAGGGGGAGACGGCCCTTGTTCGGTAACAAAAGACGGTGGCATTAGGGCCAACCGAGCCGCTGACAGAATGCTAAATTGTTTTAGGGTCAACAACTTATTGTCTGAAATTTACATAAATCTTGAGTGGGACCAGTTCTTGGGTGAAAATAAAATGTTCATCTTGTGAAAAAGTCACTTCAGAGGTTAAAAAAATGCTCTGATGTTTTTTCTTTCCACAACTTTAACAAAATCAAACTAAATAATGATTTTATGTGTACAAGCAGATATGCATTTATTTTTAAATACATTTTAAAGGACCATTATTGTAACTTTTATTGTTTATTAAGATGCAAATGAATATGTGTAAATGAGCTTTTATGGAGCTTTTAAAAAGCCTGAGTTAGTAAAACATGGTGTGGTTTTGAAAATTAGACCATATTATGTGTTAGCTTTATCTCTATATTCATATTATATATTTCGCTTTAGTTTGATAACATTAATGTTTTTTATCCATCCAGCATCGAGGCCCACGCAGCATCCGGGTCTGAAGTGACAGCCTAATGATCAGCTTCAACATTACCCATTAGACGGTCCCGGGTTAGGGTGAGACCCACTCACTAAATGAATAATTTTGTATTTATTATATTATGGCCCGCAGCTAGCGCCCCACGCTGCTCCACTACAAAAGGAGTAAATGGGACACCGAGAGGTTGTTTAACGTTAGCCCCCAAAAGCCAGTGTGTGTGTGTGTGTGTGTGTGTGTGTGTGTGTGTGTGTGTGTGTGTGCGTGTGTGTGTGTGCGTGTGTGCGTGTGTGTGTGTGTGTGTGTGTGTGTGTGTGTGTGTGTGTGTGTGTGTGTGTGTGTGTGTTTGGGGGGTAAACTTCTCTTAAAAACTATGTTTTTTTTTTTATCACTGGACAAAATGAATTCAGATTGAGACACGTGGGTTTATTTTGGTGTCATTGTCTTTCTGGGAGCTGATTTGAATTTTCTAAAAGCAAACAGAAACTTGACTGAGTTCAAAACTGAGAATGTGGATTTTTGTGCACTAAACTAAAAATAGATTAACTGAAAAATGTTTCGGCACCACTTTTAAATTAGAAAAACCAAACTTAATTTTCTAAAAGGATCATTTTATGATTATAGAATTTGATTTTATCCAATAAATGTTCACAAATATATATATATATATATATATATATATATATATATATATATATATATATATATATATTTGTTTCCACATGATGTATTATCCAAGTTTTATCTTTTTTGTCTGAAAAATTCCTAATAACTTTTCAAATATGTCTAAATATTTTCCAGCATTTCGAGTAAAATCTAAATATTTTCAGTTGAATAAATAATTCTCCCTAAAGTCGTGGATCCAGGCGGAGGCCCTTCCCGTCCCCGCCTATAGAGGTCGCTGTGATATTGGAAAACAGAAGCGGATCAGCTCCACATGTTTAAATCTTTGCTGCAGCACGTCTAAAAACGCCCAACTCAATTAAAACTATTTTCATGACACACTTCATGTAGGGAACATGTAATTGGTCATTTTTATTGTTTTAAACTGTGAATAGGATCCATCAGTGAACTTCACAGGCAGAATTTCACTGGCATTAATAAAAACGCGTCACCAATAACAACTAACGTTATTAAAACAAAACAAAAAAGTTTATGAATAGTAAAAGAAAAAATCTGGTCACAATTTTCCATCAGAGAAATTAATTTCACTTCGTTCAAACTAATAAATGATCACTGACTCATAAAAGCCGATTCAACTGTTAAAAAGTAAATTAAAAGCTGCTTTTAAAGGCTAATAATTATTATCAGGGTTGAAACAGACAGGACCCCAACACAGCACGTCCTTCCCCTTCTTCTCCTCACCCCAACCCCCCTCAAAAGAAAAAAGGGGGAAATATTAATAATTTATCTCCGAATCGACTTCTCCCTCTGACAGATTAGATTTTAACTATTTGATTTTGTTTGGACTGGGCGTTCCCATATTATTACTTAATGACGTTCCCAGCTGCTCCTGTCCATTTTCTGTCACCAGCAACCATCTGGACACTTATTAGCACCTCAATGCGTCCGCGCTGCTTCCCTCTCCAACTCGAATACAATTAAAGCCTGCAGACTGCCACCATCCTCCTCTTCCCACCGAGCTCTTAGAATAAAACCAGCAGCGACAAATAAAACAATAGAAAAACATCAATGCAGATTTCCGCTTTTCTCCATAATTTCATTTAGTTTATTAAGCAAAATATACGATCTGGACAAATTCCTTCAATTTTTCCTATTTACAAATTTAAATCAGCTGGTATTTACATTAGAGAAATGACACCAAAAGCACGTGATAGAGACGAATAATTATAATAATATTAATATTAATAATAATAAAGTAAAAAGCCTACCAAATCGAGCCCAGCCAGCCCGGGCAAAGTGGAAGAGAGAGTATAACATTAGAGGCTACACAACAATAGAGGAAATTCATCCATCCACAGGATATTACCAAATTACGCCATTTGTTGACTGAATGCTACACCGCATTATTATTGTCCTTTTCTTGCGTAAAAAGCGTAAAAAAGTCTCTTTTCTTTTCTTTTTTAATATATTTATTTTTAAGCTCTGGGGGAAAACGTCTTGATCAAGCCGAGGAGAGCGCAGTGAGGACCCGTTGCGTGGCGTCTTGGGGACTCCTGGCGCTGGAAGGCAGAGAGGATCTGGATGAAGAATAATACAGAGAGGCAGATAAATACCCCGCCGTGTTTGGACAGCAGGTTTCAATATGCATCTCAAGTGTCTGGCTGAAGGGGTTTGATCAGAAGCAGCTATAGGACGCAGGCCTCGTTCCCAGTCCCTTCTGCATTCTTTCTTTTTGAATAAAGGAAAATCATTAAAACTGTTTCAAAATAAAGAAAAAATCTACAAGACCTGAGAAAACCTGGCGATTGCTTTATATTTTATCCTTTCTTTATTTTCTTTTTCTGGACTTCTCCCTTGGGCTCCGGCTCTCCCAGGGGTCTTTAGGGAAAGCACACAGCCCAGAGCCCGTTTTACTCGGTGGCTTGATAAGTAGCCGCTCTCTCCCCAGAGGGGAGGCATTAAAGGGGGTGTGGGATGGGAGTCAGGACCCCTGTCACCCGTAAAGCAAACTGTTTTTATTCCTCTCCTTTTTTTAATCACTGCTTTCATTCATGGCCTGGTGCTCTTAAAACGTTACATAAAAAATCTATTTAACCAAATTACAATAATATTAGAATAAATCACAAAACAACGCAGATTTTTATTTCAATTTTAACAAAACCAGTTTTATTGTCTTGAATCAGTTAATTTCTGCACAAATATTCTTTAAATCAGTGCAGGTTGTCTCTTGGTGAATAATATTAAATGCATTTTTGATTTAGCTTTCTGTGACTACAAGAAACAAATTATATGAAATAAAACACAACTTCTGGAGCCAAAACAAACAAATAAACAACAATAATAAAAATGGAAACTTTAAACGTGTCTCACCTGTCATGGAGGGGGCGAAAGGAGGGCTTCAGGGTCTGTGATGGAGGTGAATCAGGTCTTACTCCGTTTTCATGCTCTGGAACGGAAACAACAAAAATTATTATTATTATTATTATTATTATTATTATTATTATTATTATTAGTTCATTTTGAAGAGTTTGTTTTGTCACTCAGGTTGAGCCTCCACGTGCACATGACATATTATAATAGCGAGGCTCTTTGAAACACAAACAGACTGCACTAAGACGATGCTTATGCGTAAACACTTTTAACTGTACGGCTGCTCAGCCTGGTGAGAGTGCGCGTGCCCCCTGCTCACCTATGTGCTTGGGACTGTGGGTTTCTGCTGAGGCCTTGCTGTCGTTGCTGAGCGCCGCCGCAGCTGCTACCGGCGACACCACCACTGACGTGGGCTGCTGCTGCTGCAGGTGGTGCTGGTTTACTCCCAGGAACGACCTGACGTTCAGCAGGGGGTTCTGGCCCAGGAAAGCCCCGTTTGTCCAGTTGGGGAACTTTCCAATCTGGCATGTGTACAGTCCGTGACTCGGGAGGAAGGCCGGGTGCGTCTGGATCTGGTGGGGCGCTGACGGGTGAGTGGTGGCCCCCGGGCCGCAGGGAGACGCTGGTTTCTGGGAGGAGCTATCAGGACTGGTCGCAGTTTCTGCTAAAGACCAGATTTTGGGTTTATTGTTGGAGGGGAGAGGAAAAGTCCCCGGCCTGTCCGGAGACAGAACCCTCGTGGTGTTGCTGTTGCCGTCCGAGTTCTCCTTTCCGCCTGAGTGAACCAAAATTGCGGTTTTAGATTTCTCAAAGGCCTCGTGGGCCTGCAGGGCAAAGGCCCGTCTCTTCTCCAGGGTGTCCAGCTCTCCGGGCGCCCCGGCGCCCCTGTGCTCCCTGCTCCCCTCCACAGACTTATCATCGTCCTCCTCGTTGCTCTGATCCTCGTCGTTGTCATCGATCTTGTCTATGTCTATGCTTTCCAGATCAATCTCCTCCTCGTCTTCGTTCTTCTCCGCCTCGTCTCCGCTCCCGAACAGGTTCCCGTCCTCCCCGTCCTCCTTGCTCCTGCTTCCCCAAGTCACCTTGTTCTCCTTCTTGAGCCTCCTCCTGGCGTTGGCGAACCAGGTGGAGACCTGCGTCAGCGTCATCTTGGTGATGATGGCCAGCATGATCTTCTCCCCCTTGGTGGGGTAGGGGTTTTTCCTGTGCTCGTTGAGCCAGGCTTTCAGGGTGCTGGTGCTCTCCCGGGTTGCGTTCTTGGGCCTGGCCGGGTCTCCGTACTGGAACTGGCCGTAGGAGTAGAAGGCTGGAGACGTGTGGGCCGCGAAGGTGGCAGGATGGACGCCAGGGCCGTCCTTCAGCTCATACTGAGGTCCCTTTAAAATAACCAAAGTTACATCGTTACTGGTGATTTTTTTACGTTTAACAATTTTCCTTAAATTTGTGAAAAAAAACGGAATTAAGTCTGAACAGAAGCTGCGCCTGACGCAGAGTTTTAACTTCCTTAAACGGAACTGAAAACACTTTTGTGAGGTTAGGAAAATGACTCAATGAAAGTTTTCAGCTTTTGTAAAACTTTCTCTTTCTGTTTCTCGCACTCTTCCATAAAAACATGAATCCTGTTTATTCTGACTGGTCACGTGGTTTTATTATTATTATTATTATTATTATTATTATTATTACCTACTTCTATTATATGTTTTAACAATAAAAATGCTTCACATTGTAACAACAGTCAGTGTGTGTGTGTGTGTGTGTGTGTGTGTGTGTGTGTGTGTGTGTGTGTGTGTGTGTGTGTGTGTGTGTGTGTGTGTGTGTGTGTGGGCCTGGTGCATAAATTAGCCAACGCATTAACACACAACAAATGACTTCTTATCGCCTGGTGTGTTTTAACTCTGACAGGTCTTGGAGCATTAATGTTTTACTAAAAATATAAATAAATAAAAAAACCTGTTCAAGTCTATAGATCAAATATTTCCAACTGTCGTGAAGCTTTATGGATCCTTAACAAACACTTTTCTGGTTTATTTTTTGCTTTTCCTCATAAATAACCCAATTTCCTACATTTTAATCTTTTGATCATTGATCATTTCCTGCACGTTTAATCCTTCTGGGTGATCAACAGAGGATCAAACTGAAGTAAGGTTTGTGTACAAATTAAGATCAGTTTAGTAAAAAGTGATTTTTGTCTTACCATTTGTGAGAAAAGCGCCAGGTCCGCGCTGGTGTAAGGTAAAAACGCGCTGTAGTTGTGCACGTACGGGTTGGCGTACATGCCCAGCACGGAGGTGACGGCCGTCGCGGTGGCGGACGGACTTCCTCCGATTTCGGCGCTCCCTCCCCGGGACGAGGGCGTCAGCACCCCCGGTCTCTCGCTCCCGTACACCGCCTGGGAGGCACTGAGGTACTGCGGGTAGCCTAACTGCGGGAAAGACATCTCCTCCGCTGGATTTGTCTCGCACAGCTCGTTTAAGTCCAAAACTGCGCGTAAATGTGTCTTCTTTTAAAGAAGCAAAAAAAAAAAAAAAAAAAAAAAAAAAAGAATTACCAGGAGAAGTGATTAAGCCAAAGTCGCGGCAGCGACAGGCGCATGGAGAGGTGAAGCAGAGGAACAAACCGCTCAAATCTCGGCTTTCTCTCTTTTCTCCTTCTTCTTGCGCAAAAGTCCGCTGGATGTGATCTGATCAACAATTGCGCTCCGACTGACGCGCCTGGCCCTGAGGTCTTCCAGGCTGATCCCTCAGATACAATTTGAAGTTGACGCTTTGATTGGCATCCCCTACTTGAGCCTGCAAGCTCCTCCTCGTTTGGAGCAATGTGGATAATGTGAATGAGCACATTGGCTGGGGCCTCCCTCTTCCTCCCTCACCCCTCTCCCTCTCTCGCTCTCTCTCTCCCCCTCTCTCTTCGTGTTTGGACTTATTGTATGTTAAATGTTCAAGCATTAGAGTCCATTCACCGAAGGCTTTGATTGTTGTATGACAACCTGTCTACACAACTTCACAGCTGTCTGGCACAGGAGGAAGTAAACCCGTCAGAACCAGGAACTCACTTCTTTTCTAATTATCAATAAAGTCAATTAAAGCTTCTTCCCCATAAATGCTGGGTTGCATTTATTTAAATTTAATGCATATGAATATTTATATTTTTATTAGGTTATGTTTTGTATTTATAAAATACATATAGCTATTTTAATTATTGTAGAAAACAAATAAATTACCTCCAAAATCGATTAAATCGAAAATAACATCCGCAAGAAAAGTTAAAAGCCTCTTTTTCTAATTACTATAATTATGTTTTTATTTACTTTCGTTTTGTATATAAAGGTTTAATCAGCCAAATCTCCTTTTGATACCCCCCCCCCACACACACACACACACACAACGCGCGCGTGCACATGTGTTTGTGTGGCAGATTGTTGCTGTCTTTTGTAACTACAGAGACACTTCACGCTTTTTTTTTTTGCTTTGTGAGAAAAGGAATGTGGACAAGCCGGAGACTAGTTGCAATGATTTCTGCAGGTCCCTGAACGCACCTCAAGCAACCAGCAAAGGCTGACTGAAAATGACAGCTGAATAAAATTAACGATTTGTTTTACTTTTATTTTAAATCTAATTCACTCAGAAGTTAGGAGGGAGAATTCAAGCGGTAGTTGGAAAAAAGTAAGAAGTTTCAGCTTTGGTCACCTCCTCTTGAGCTGCTTCTCTCCAGCAGAACAGAGTCGGACACCAACCTCCACTCCTGTCGCAGCCAGAGATGAGAGGCTCGGGGAGGGAACGGGTGTTCACATTTAACTGTTCTGTTTTGATTTGATTTGAGTCTCCTATCGCCCACCTCCAGAGTCAAAGGGCTGCTCCGTACATCTAGATTTAATGCCTTAACGACTGAAGCCCGAGAAGTTGCTCTAGATTTGGATCTGCACCAGATGGCTCCGAGTGGATATTGCCGAGCGCCGAAGATCTGTTAGAAATATCTGAGGGGCACTGATGGTATCTGGGTAACACATCAGAAAGGAGGGGAGGAATGGCAGTAGTGATAACCCGCTGGAAATGTGCGCAAGAAGGGGAGGCTGTGGAGGGTCGGTGCAGAGGGGACACGGAACTCAGTAATAATAATAATAATAATAATAATAATAATAATAATAATAATAATAATAATAATAAATAGTTACTTTTATTTGAATAAATAATATTTTGAGTTTTAATTTTCCAAGAATATAATAATTAATTCATCAAATCTTTTAAGAATTTCTCAAATTCTTGAGTTTTCCCTTGAAAAAAAAACCTCAAACTTTCCTCCAAACCTGATTCCAGCCCACTTTAGCATCTAAACTGGTCCACATTAAGTTCTGGATCAGCTCCTCTAAACAAACGCGCTTTTCTCCAGCTCCTGCTTTCCCGTGGGTGCGCCTAGACGCGCGCACGCGTCCCCGTGCACACTAACCTATAACGATTTTCCAGCGCTCTCCTCTTCTGCTGGTGAAAAAAGGAACGAAAATCCCAGACTTCTCTTCTCATATCAGCGAGTTTTATCATGTAAATCTACAGGAGCCTCTTCATAAGCTGCCACACCTTAATGGCCATGTTCTAAGACGTCACCCAGGTGGTCGATACGTGCTTTCATTTATCATCCTGCGTGCTCCACGTTCGAAACCCATTCCCAGCAACGGTGTCAGGGCTTTCTCAGCTTCTGGTGCTCTGCTGAATCATTTATCATTTTCATATGTTAATCATAATGTTACTGCATTGAGAAAAAAGAAAAAAAACGGAACTTGTTAAAATATATTTAGGCTTGTTATAGAATAAACATCTAAACATATATATATATATATATATATATATATATATATATATATATATATATACATATATATATATATATATATATATATATATATATATATATATATATATATATATATATACAGTTTTATCGTGTGTGTGTGTGTGTGTGTGTGTGTGTGTGAACTGGTTGGTGTTCTGAAATTGTTCAGCACATTTTTATGTAAAACACACAAAAGATTTGGTCAAGATTGATATTTATTAATACACGTAGATTTATAATGACATTTATGATTAGACGTAATGAAATAGGACGTTTAGGTTGTTGTTTAATAAAAGCATCTAAGGTTACACAGAATGTTTTAAGACCGAGGCAGTGTGAGGTCACATGTTTGAAAGGTGTGTCAGGTTTACTTGAATTAAAACCTGCGGTACCTAAATGCTCCACCTCAGGTATGCAAGGTCCAGGCCAACAGGTAGAGGTGTATGACCCAAGTCAAAGAGAGTGAACCTGTGTTACAATAACATCGGTTTTGTTGACAGTCGGCTACTACCGCAGAGGTCAAGGGTGTCTCTGTGAACTAATAACTGTGGTGAAAGATACTCCTTTCCTGCCTCTGGGAGTGCCAAAGTTGAAGAAAGGTTAAGAATCCACAGAATACTTCTTTTGTACTTTTTCTCTAGGATTATCAAATTAAAGTGTCGGGACCAAAAACTCCTTTTTCTCCCAGAGGGGAGGAGATTAGATGAATATCAATAATATTAATGGATCATCACAGCTGCTGAAACACGGCCTCTTTGTTATCACTCTCAACTTATTCTAGCACATTAGATCCAGTTTACTCCCCGAACGACGTCAGAGAAGCGCAACTGGTCGGCTGTGTGTTGGAGTCAGAGGACCACTGGTGTTACTGTGAGACATCTGATCCATTGACAACTGCACCACACCTATGAGTAAGGAAACCAAGAATTTCCTGGGTAATAAAAGACTTTTATTCCTAGAAGGCCGAGGGTCTACTTAGTTGGATGTTTTCTTCAAACTTGTAAAAAAAAAATACTTTTTGAGCTTAAACCCTCAATTCATGTCAGCTAATGTATGAAGCCTAACAACAACTACAGATCGTTTTTGTGAACAATCTCGTCTCTTCTTTCACCGACGTACAAAATGTCTGCCACAAAAAACAGTCCATTAAAGTAAGGTTTGCATTTTTTTTGTACATTACAGAAAGTTGCAACAAATTCCACAAAAGTTCAATTAAATCAAGTATTTAGATTTAGGTCTCACTCACACAGCAGGCGTGGATTAAACAACAACAAAAATCCCAAAGATTTCATGATTTAGAACAAATGTTGGGATCAGCTAACATATTGCCCTGCATTGATAGCTATGGGTTTCCACGCAGTTTATTTAAAACAGAACAAATGTGGTTAAATCATCTAAATGAGTTTCCCAATACGACCTTTCAGTGTGTTTTACACAAGTATTTTAACGTTTTCATTAACATATTTTTAAAGGTGCAATACGAAAGAATTTACATGGAGATAATCCCAAAATAGTTTAATGTTTGCCTGGCAAGCAAGACTAAATAATATATTTACCGTTGAAGGTTCTTGGTCATGGGGCGGTTTCTACTGTTGTATTTCAAAGTATCTCCGCATGCTACTGGAAAACGAACAACGTGAAATTCTCAACGCAACTGATGTCGGTGAACGAGGCGGACCACTGTTGAAGAAGGTGTAAATGCATCGTTTTTCTAGATAAAGAACTTAATTACATCTGTGTGCTCATGATTCAAATAAAGCCCAAGTCCAAATAGTCCAAAAATGATTTTAAATTCATGTTCAAACAATCTGTCGCTATCTTGTTCCGTTTCGTCGCATCATCCCACCCACAAGACGATTAGAGGGCCCTGCTTGGCTAACAAAGCCAATAGAGCCCTGTGATTGGCCCACAAAGCAGACACAGCTCTGTGATTGGTCCACAATGGTGGAGCTATCAGTTTGAAACCCCTATAGAGAGCTGTGATTGCTAGCTAGAATGCTCCTACGGCTGTAGAGGTTCCAATTGAGCGGTATTGCTAGAACAAACTTTGCAGAGGAAGAATTTGGTCTAGTTCACTAGGCTGGTCTAAAGTCTCAGTCATGTTGGAAGAAAAGTCACTTAGAAACGCTAGCCAGAGCGTCACTTTCCGACGCCCGCGGTAAAATGGAGATTTCACCAAATTGTGACCTTAATCCTCTTGCTATTTAACGTTCCCCTGACCCCCATCCTAACTTAAATCCACTTGCGCATGCAAAACTTTATTCCTAGTTGTACCGTCCCTCTCAAACACGGTTAACGAGAAGTTTAGAATGAGAACCTGGGTTAAGGGTAGGATGGGGGTGAGGGGAACGTTAAATAGTAAGAGGTTAGAGGTTAAATGTCAGTAAAATGCGCGTATTTCCGCAGGCTTGGGAAACCGACGCTCTGGCACCGTCGTTGGGAGCCCCAACGCATCGGAGACGAGCGCTTGTTCACCCATCGTCAGGTTTAGCCGCTTCTGGTGTGAGAATGTGTTGTAGTGACTGGCCTATCTGGCACTCTGGGCAGCTTAGTCGTGTGGGCCGCTTGTCCAGCTTGGGCCGGCATGAATAAATAATACATTTCATAGTAGTTCCTGTAACACTACTTTTTAAAAATCTCTACATCACCAGTTTTAGCTATTGCTTTTTAACTGGTTTCATTGGTTCTTGAGCCAGAAACTTGAACATCTTCACATTGGACAGCACCCTGCTTCCCTCTGCAGTGCGAGTAATACCTAAATTAACTTTTTTTTTTGCTGATAACGATGTGTGTCTAATTGTGCTGTAGACATGTGTACTCAGTGTGACAGTTTAGTGCAACCTATTTTAAATATAATATTTCAGTCCAAAACGGTAATTTTATTTCCATCTTCAGGTTAAAACTTCACATTGATTTAGATTCAGGCACAGCCGTTGACTTAGCTGAATAACATGAC